CGGGATATCAAAGGCGTCTGGGTCACCCTTAGGGACTAGTAGCATGGAGCAGAGATGGGGAGTAGCCTCGGACAGGAAAGCAAGCTCGTACTGCCTGTCCTCTAGGACGTCACTGCCAAGGGCGGGAACACCCGCGACGGACAGAGGATGGACAGGGTCAGAGACCAGAGCGGTGGCGTAGTCAAGGCGGTGGGTAGAGGCAAAGTCAGCGACAGCAGCGACAAGAGCGTCGAGACTCGAGAGAGGAACAAACGGGTCGGTAACGAGGGAGGCAAGGACCCGAGAAACAAGAGGACGAGCAGCATGAAGGTAGTCAGACAGAGGGGGGGGCGCGACAGCGAGCGACGACAGAGGAGTCGAAGGCAAGAGGGGAGGACAAGACGTGTGGGAAGAAAGCAACGTAGGGTGAGAACGCAGAACAGGGGAGACAGGACGAGCACGAGAGGGACGGCGAGATCAGACGTAAGATGGAGGCGTCGGGTGAGGAGACACAGGAGGAGTAATAGGAGGGGAGCAAGGTGGTAAGCGAGCCGGGGAGTCCGGCGGAGGAAACACAGGACCGTGGACAGGAAGGGGAGGAAGTGGCGAGGGAGGCGCAGGCAAGCGGTCAGGGGAGGGAAAGCCGAGCAGGCGAAGGGCGGACACCGGCGGTGACTACTGCTGCTGCTGCTCGACGCCGACACTTGGACCGCCAGCTGCACTGCGGCTACCTCCAGAACACTCCACTCCAGCTCCCCCAGAAAGAGCACCCCCAAAGCGAGAACTCTCTCTAGCACCTGTGCCACCCCCGAGCCCGCCGGGACAAGCCACGACAGGAACCCCAGGACTAGCATCCTCCTCGACACCTGCACCTCAGAGTCCACAAACGGCTGCTCCTGCCGCTGCAACGGCAGCGGCGGCTGTGGCAGCGGCGGCGGCTGCTGCAACGGCAGCGGCGGCGGCGACTGCGATGGGAAAGTAGGAGACACCGGGGGAGAGACAGGCGGCAAGAACTATGCCGCAGGGCCACCAGAGTCAACCGACTCCGTGACCGGGACAACCGATGGGAGGGGAGTGGCGTGAAACACACCAAACGGAGCAGGACGGGGAGGAAGGTGAGCAGGGGCTACCGGGGGAGTGGGGACTTGAAACAGGGGCGGGGAAATCGGGAGACCTCAATGGGGAAAGCAGTGGTAAAAGGAGACAGACTCGTCGAAAGTGGTTTCACAGGAGTGAAAGAAGCGGTGAGACAGCGGGTGGTAAAAGTGCCTGTCAGACAAGTCCAGGGAGAAACCGAGGAAGACACAGGGGACAGTGCAGGCAGTGAGCTTCTCCGTGCTAGAGGCACGAACGTGAGCGAGGCAGCCCTAGACGTGGAACGTGGACGCGTCACCAAGGAATTTGGTACAAAGAAGGGTCGGCGAAACCTGCGACCGCTGAGAGTTCGGCCAGAGGTTAAGCTGGTGAGCGGCGTAGCGAACGGCGAACGGCCACAGAAAATGGGGTGCACTGGCATGAATCATGGAGGTACGAGCCACTTCCATGACCCAGCCGATGCGTCGCTCAGCGAGCCCATTCTGCTACGGGGAGCCCGGTAGGGTGTACGACTGGGTGATGCCCTCTGCACGACAGAACTGTTCAAGCTGACCAGAGGTGAACTCGCCGCCACGGTTGGAGTGGAGACACAGCAGAGGGAGACCGCAGTGGAGGCGCGCAGCTACGACCCACGGGATAAGAACGTCGGTCACGTCGGCCTTCCGCTCCAAGGGAAACACCGTGGTGTAGCGCTTGAAGTTTTCAACGAGCACGAGGAAGTAGCGCTCGCGACGCGGTCCAGGGACGGGGGCTCGGCCCCAGACGTCCAGGTGCAGGGTTTGGAGGTGTGCGGTGGCAGGACGAATCAAGGAGGAGTGAGGAGCACGGCGGAGCCGGCCCTCGACGGAGGTCGTGCACGGCGGTGCAGACGAGGGAGGGAGGGCAGGAAACAACGCAGGGAGACCTAGGATGAGACCATGCTGGGACATGTAATGCAGACGGGGGAGCGTGCGGTGACCGAGGCGGTGGTGGCACAGAAGCGATGGGTGAGTGAGCGACCGACAGGAGCACGCAGCGGCGACCTGGGTAGACGCAGGACCCGGGGGGGACGGTCCAACTGGGTGGGGAGCAGTGTCCAGCATAAAGAGGCCAGACACCGGGTCCCGGGGGAACGTCACAAGGGGGGAACCTGAGGCGGCCTCGGTACAGACGGCGTACCGCTCGTGACCAGGGAATGTAGTGGTGACGCCGAGGTCCTGAAGACAGCCGACACCAACTACAGGGGATGTGTAGGCCTATAAGGGAACCCGAGGGAACCACTGGACAGGGAAGGGTAGTGTAGCTGTGAGCAGCTACAGGACCAGAGGAGGGGTCAACAAGTGCGACAGCGGCATGCGCGGCTAGCGGCGTAAGCGCAGCGTGGTCGCGGAAGAAGCAGGCAGACGCACTGGATTCAAGTGTGAAGGGCAGCGAAGTAGAAGCGGCAGCCGAAGGAGGAGCGAGTGTGGAGCCTAGGCTAGACAAAGCTAACGGTCCTATGCCTAGCGCAGCAGGGGAGTCTGTACTACACACAGGTGCTACGCCTAAGCTAGCGAACACATGGTATTAAGATCCAGACACGCTAGAAGCGTCAGCATACAGAGAATGTGGGGCAGAATTAATATGATCCATGTCTAAGTCAAAAACAGGCACACCGTGGTGCAGCAAACTAGGCCAGTCGGGGAGGTCCGGGGCTGGGCCGAAGCGGTGACGGAAGAGTCGTCAAGGCGGCGGAAGCAGCGGGCGATCGGGTGCGGGCGGCGGCACACAGTGCCACGAAGGGGCCTGGTCTGGAGCTGGTACTGGCAGCCCACGGCACAAAAGCCGCCGGTAGACGCCGAGCTGCGAGGACCGCCACCTCGGCCACCACCTCCAGGGGCTCTTGGCCACCGTAGCGGGAGGCGGGCCCACGGCTGCTGCTAGTGCTGCTGCGGCTGCGGCTGCTGCTGCTCCTGGACACCTTCCCCAGCCCCCTCATCAGAGCCACTGTCACTGCCAGAAGCACAACACCACCACCACACCCTCCCTTGGGGCCGCGATGGCCCCGACGCTGTCGCTGCTGCTTCGGGAAGGTCGCCGCTGCGGTCTCAGTGGCAGGAGCAGCTGTAGCAACCGCGGTGGACACGTCAGCATACGTGCACCGGGAGGGAGCGCAGCCCTAAAGGATAGGGACTGCCGCATTACCGCTCAACTGAGCGATAGTGTGCTGGCGAGTCTCAATCTCAGAAAGGGCAGCGACAAAGACGGTCAGGGTGAGGTCACCAGGGTGTTGGCTAAGGAGGTGATCGCGTGCAGTGGCTAAGCGGTCAGGCAGGCGCATGGCAATAAGGTACAGGGTAGTGCAGAACGGTGGGGGGAAGGCAGCGAGCTGGGCAGTAGTGCTAGCAGCACGGTAGCTAGTCTGTAGTGCACGGAGGTGAGTGGCAAGATCAGCGACAGTAGGGAAAGCAGAGTGATCGGGGAAGAGCATGGGGAGGATCAAGCGTCTTGGTGAGGCGGAGACAGGCGTGGAGTAGCGTGCAAGTACTGTATCTAGGAAGTCTTTGGCGTTTGCGACAGCAGTGATGCGGGGACGCTCAGAAAGGGGAAGCGCATGACTAATGGCAAGGTGCGCTACTGCATCGCAAGAATCTCAGACAGCGCGAGCGAGCGCAGCAGCCGTAAAGGCCTCACTCTCAGCAATGGTGGGGTCAGCAGGGAGGGGATCAGGTGCAGGGGAGCGGGGAAGCAAGCCATCAACGTGCATAGCCAAGGAATGCCCATCCTGGCACTGACCTGTCAGGTGCCATCATAGATCGACAAGCCAGGCGGCGAAGTCGATCGTGTGCCCCTCCGCATCCAGGCGTAGCATGGCGTCCGACATCGCGCAACCGCAGCGGCACCGGGACACAGCGGCACAGCGGTACAGGGATACAGCGGCACAGAGATAAACTCAGCTGCACGGTGGTGCAGCGGCGTGGCGGCAAGACTCTCCGGAACGAAGACCGGGCGGACGGCTGAAGAGGGTGCAAGTGGGCCGAGACGCACGAGGGGCCGGACAGGCGTCGAAAGGCCGGGCAGGCACGAGAGGGGCCGCTGCATAGAGAGGGGCCGGCGGTCCGCAGGAGAGGCCGGCTAGGCGGTAGGGGTCGGCTAGGCGCGAGGGGCCGGCTGGGTGAGAGGGGCCGGCTAGGCGCAAGGGGCCAGCTAGGCGCGAGGGGGCAGCTAGGCGTGAAGGGCCAGCTATGGCGTGAGAGGGGCCGGCTAAGCGCGTGGGGCAGGCTGCGGCGAGAGAGGGCCCGGCTAAGCGCGAGGGGCCGGCTAGGGCGCGAGAGGGGCCGGCTGGGCGCGGAGGGGCCGACTAATCGCGAGGGGCCGGCTACGGTGCGAGGGGCCGGCTAGGCGCAAAAGGGGCCGGCTAAGGGCGAGGGGCCGGCTGGGCGCGAGGGGTCGGGTGGGGCGCGAGAGGGCCGGCTAAGCGCGAGGGGCCGGGTGGGGCGCGAGAGGGGCCGGCTAAGCGCGAGGGGCCGGCTAGGGTGAGAGAGGGGCCGCCTGGGCAAGGAGGGGCCAACTAGGCGTGAGGGGCTGGCTACGGCGCGAGGGGCCGACTAGGCGCGAGAGGGGCCGGCTGGGCGCGAGAGGCCGACTACGGCGCGATGGGCCGGCTGGACGCGAAGGGGCCAGCTAGGCGCGAGGGGCCAATTAGGCGCAGCGAGAGGGGTCGGCCGGGTGCGAGGGACCAGCTAGGCGCGAGGGGACAATGGGCACGCTAGGGGCTGGAGGACGCGCTAGGGGCCGACGAGGCGCGGTAGGCTAGGGCGCGGGGCGGAAGCGGGTGGGTGGACCTAACCTACTCATGATACCATGTTAGAATACTAGAATGAATTAGAAATGAGAGAGAACAAGGGAGATATAGGGTTTCGATTGTACTCTCTAAGAACACACGCCCATTCTAGCTTGTAAGTTCTACATGCACAAGTATGTAGAAGTTGATAGGGTTACCCTTGAGAAGATCCTCGAGGAAGGGCCACAGGTGCAGAGCCTGGGAGGCTATGGGTGCACTGACCCGCTATTAACAAGCCCTTTTAACTCAGTGGTTAGTGGCTGAGTTCTAACATCTACCTCCAGTCTCGCAATGTGCGCGACGTCGGCGGTCTTAGCTAGGACCATACCTTGGAGGGGGGAGGGTGCAAGGAAATGGTATTTCCTTATCACTGGTTTTGGTCAGTTAGGCGTACACTGCTATAACGGGGTTACCGCGCAGCTCTACCACGAAATTCAAATCGTGGTCCCAAATGTGGTCTCCTGACGAACCGCATACATTGTTGCTTGCCTTGCTGTTATCAAAGTCAACAAATGCTAGGAACGGTAGGCGGCCATGGAATGGCGTGAGGGTTTAGCTAGGAGAGGAAGTTGACGAGAGAAAAGAGGGTCGAGAATAGAAGAGAGAGGGATACAAGGAGGGGGGTTATACCCTATACAGTAGGTTTCAGTAACACCTATCAAGCCTACCAATTATATATCAAAGATATAATTTAACACACCCCCTAGGCTTGGTAGCCGAAAGCACACCACACACGGGACACTAAGCTACACACACCCCCTAAATCTAGCACCCCCATACTCAGTTGCAGCGACGGCTACACCAGCCCGGTCAACCCCTCGGCGCGTGAGGGGGCAACATCGACAGCAAGGGCTGCGGCGGCGGCTGCGTCGATAGCGGTGGCGGCGGCGGCGGCGGCGTGCAGCGGCATGGCCCCAACGCAAGCGGCGACAGCGGCAGCGGCGGCGGAGGGGCTCGCAGCACTCAGCGGCATGGCCGGGCTCCGCGATGGTGGGACGGCCAGCGGGAGTCAGCCATCGGCGACGGCGAGGAAGAGGGGAAGCAGGGAAGGGGGGCAGGGCTTCTGCAACCGTGGCTGGCGCGCGGGCGTCAGGACCGGCGGCGCCTAAGACGTCACGCGGCCCGCTGCCGCCCGTCGACGCCGCCACTGCAGCATAACGCCGCCTCCACAGCACGGCGTCGATGCTGCGGCGGTACGTCTACGCTGCGACTGCAGCACGACGGCGCCGTCACGCCGCCACGGCTGGACGTTGACGCCACAACAGCTCGACGCCATGGCAGCGCGTCGAAACGGCGGCGGCAGCACGACGACGCTGCCACAACAGCACGACGCGGCCGCCATGGCAGCGCGAGAGGGAGAGGAGGAGTGCGCGGCAGAAGCGTGGGGAGCAGGCCTGGGAAGGGCAACCTGCTCTGATACCATATCAAAGTTAACGAATGCTAGGAACGGTAGGTGGCCATGGAATAGCGTAAGGGTTTAGCTAGGAGAGGAAGTTGACGAGAGAAAAGAGGGTCGAGAATAGAAGATAGAGGGATACAATGAGGGGGGGTGTACCCTCTACAGTAGGTTCATTAACACCTACCAAGCCTACCAATTATATATCGAAGATATGATAATGTTTGAAAGTGTTACACGCTTTCTAAAATTGTGTATTGTGAAAGTGGAAACGTGGCCAGCACAGCAAAGGTAGTGGCGCACTGCTACTCACCCTCTTTTTGCCTACAAAAGAGGGACGTGAGGCCAGTTGGCCTCACCCACGTTCTTCATTTTCAGTTTCTAGTTTGAGTTCCTAGTTCTCGTCCAACCTGGCGAAGACCCAGTCCCTCCCCCACTTCAAGGCTCCAGCCACACCAGTCACCGACATTCTCCAGCGCAACCTCGCAAATATGGCGCCGACGAACACGCCTGCTAACCGGGAGGTTAACAAGCCGTCTACACCCGCCGTCGCTCCGGAGCTCGGAAGTTCGCCCGGGGTAACCGACCGACGCTAGACACGCCCAGCCGAAAATTTCGGCGAGAGCCCCTCTGGTGTCGAGGTCCTCCTCGGCACGTCGGAAGAAATACGCGCTGATGCGAAGCAACAGCGCGTGGCGTCAAACTTGGAGCCGCGCGAGACTACCAAGTTGACGCACGTTGACGTGGACAACGTCGCTGGCACGTCAGGGGGCCAGGCGGGCCCCACCATCCGAAGTCAACGCATTGGTCAACGCGCCAGTCAACGCCGCCCCCGCGCTCACTGCGCAGCAGCTGCAGGTGCTCCTGGCGCTGTTACACCAGCAAGCCCCCGTTACAGTCGGAACTTCCGATAACATTTCTGCTCCGACTAAAAATGATAAGAAGAAATCTCCCATGCTCCCTCCTCGCGCCAGCAAGACCCCACGCACCGACGACCCGGCCCCTGCACCTGTTCCTGCACCTGCACTTGCTCCTGTACCTGCCGACAGCGACGACTCTGACAACGACGACGGTGAGGCTCCCAATAATATCACTCGTCGTCGCATTTTTCCTTCCGCCCCCCCTCTCCCTCCCCTTAACCCCTTGCCCGCGGCCACCACCTTCATCCGCAAGGGGGTGCGGGACCAAGCGGAAGTCTTTGCCGCCATCCAGGCACACCCAAAGCACG